CTCTCCAATCTTTGGTTGAGGCCTCAGTTGGAACCTTAGGCTCACTGTGCAAAATGACATTGGGGTCTAAGAGGCAAACGTAATTTGGGGCATTCATGCCTAGCTTGCGTCAATGCATAATTCACCTAACCTCTTAATCAAGGATACTGAAAACGAGAAGCAAAGTTCAACCGTAGAATATAAGAGAAAATCCTATTTATTAATGCTCTTTATTCTATTGTAACATCGAAACATTAGCAAATTGCGTATTCCAAAGCAAGCAAGTCAATCGGCATCTGTTCTTTTATTAAATTAATCTTATAATAGACCATATTCGTATTCTCGGTATTGGACTGGAAACTAGCTTTCAACTGGGGCTAACGCGGTGAATCTTTTCAACTGTAAATGACATTAATCTCTTTTGAATGATATTCCCCCTCAAGAGCTGGTTACATTCCAATACCGACAGTACGAATTATATCTTCTAAACAGCGATTTAAAAGCGAAGATGAGTACAAATTGAAAACTATTCAGCCAAGAGGTAATAAGGATGGACAAGGCTGGACGAGATTGAATAGGATTACATTGAACCACATTTGATCGCTGTAATAACGATAACATAGATGAAGTTTAGCGCGACATGTCTAAAAGGGTCCATAAATGCCTAGAATTCAGTTCTTTGTCAAGTAGCAGAGATCCCATCAATAAAGTAAACATTTCTTGACTATTTTTTTTAAGTCTGCAGCTAATAACGAAAGAAGCTAGACAAGAATTGTAGATAAAACAAACTGACCTTTTGTGAGGGTAAATCGTTTTTATGGACGTATTAAAACTGAATGTAATTTGTACCTGGACCTAGTTTATTACGCTCGCAAATTGACTTTGTGCCTTATGATATACCTTGTAGGCCATAGCAATGTATCGACATTTACTGTATATATATATATATATATATATATATATATATATATATATATATATAAATTTTTTAAAGTTTAAATCAAAGTAAAAGGTATTGTTGTCTTTGGCCGCTTGTAATGGAAACCTCGCTGGGAATGTAAAAATGCATTGATGGAAGCTTTTTCGAGATGAAAAAAGTTTCGTTCTTGTCATACTTAGTCGCTCCTTGGTAGACTTAAGCTCCTAATAATAGCTTTTTGATTGTTATTCTTAGTTTGTATTGAGTATACTCTTGCATTCATTTTCATTTTTGATATTCCTGAAAAATTCCGTTCCATTTTAAGCCGCGTATCATTAGTCAGCTGATATCAAAATTATTGCATCGTTCGGTTTCAGTTGACCTAAAATACAATCTGACGGAAACTGTGGTTTGGGGGTGTATTTGCCATGATCTTATTTGCGTTGATCGCTCAAATATCTAATTAAAAAGTTTTAAATACTTTGGAGAGTCTTGCAGCAGGGAGCCAAGCAAATGCAATTTGGTTGCCTCAAATGGACTCTTGGAAAAGTAATAGCGAACAGGCCGAGGGGTCAAAAGTCTTCTTTTGTTCCATTGTCGCTTTAGACACTTTTAAAATTCCTTTCAGTGCGTGTCTTTGCCCAGGTATCTGAAAACGGTCACTCCGAATATGTGGAAAGTATTTATCATGGAGTTAGTTATTGATCACAACAATTTTAGTGGCAACAGCCATGACTTTCAACTGACAGAACCAGAACTAAATGGACAATGTATAAAAGGCCCTTGAACAGACCTTCGTTTACCGGAAGGACACAATTATATCTTATAATTGAGATTCACCATTTCGAAATTATATAGGCAGTTGAAGGATGGAGGCATTTACTTACAAGAGGTTGTATTAAATTTGCTGGTGCACTTAAAGTTAAGCTCGAGGGATTAAAATCGAATATGCGATTCTATTACCAGTTTGTTCCGAAGTGTTGGAAAAGTCTGCAGCAATTTGCAGGAAAACTTTGATAAGAAATATTTTATATTACTCTATTATAAAAATCAATACTCTTATAACTAATGGCCGGAAGAATTCGTTTCTCTTCACTTAAAGAGGGATTTTAACCAAATCTTATCAACTATTTTAAAAGTTACCAAAAAAAAAGGAAAGAAAAAAAAAACTTGGGATGACATCAAGAAGCACTTATCGAGTATATCCGGTTGAGGCCATTACCAGCTAAATGCAACAACGCAAAAGTGAATTTGTTGGCAGGGAATCTTAAAAACGCCATTATTCGATCAAATCTCAGCAAGTCCGTTGGTCAAGTGGCAAATTAAGAGTTGGCGAATACCTTACTTTTGGACAGATAGAAAACTTAATTTAACTTTTGAAAATGCCCAGATATAGTCGTCACTAAGCCTTTCATACGTCATATTAACTTCATAAAATACCCCACACGAATTCAACCTGGCTCGGGTTTGGTATTTGCGCAAAACGCCCTGCTATTTTTGTGAAACTGATAAACTTTCTAAACTCTACTTAAATCGTGAAAATCGCTGGAAATTCCCCTACGGGCTTGGTTAGAATTTCAGTGCGGGCTGATCCTAGCGTGTAAGCTTGAGCGGGTGTCTATATTGTGATCCATTTCAATCCTCGCCATCGTATTAGTCATCGCTTAAGTAAAAACAACAATAACAACAACAACAACAACAACAACAATAATAATAATAATAACGATTATAATAATAATAATAATGATAAAAATAATAATAATAATAATAATAATAATAATAATAATAATAATAATAATAATAATAATAATATGCAAAGTTAAAATGCTGGGTCGTTCCGGTCCCGGTAGTTGTTACAAAGCAGGGAAATTTAATTCAATATAAAGATGGATCACAATCGATTTTATCTACCGGAAAAGACTACTAATGGGATAAAATATTTATGTAGACCTGTAGAAAACATGATAAGTTGAAATGATTCCTTTAAAACCCCCCGTCGAGTTAAAGCCTGAGAAAACATTCCATAGTCATAAAAACTCTGATAGCGAGCGAAAAGTCCAAAACTTAATTCTAAGTTAAAGGGGTATGTTAAACAGGTGAAACAACCAGTCTATAGAAGCCATCTTACTAAAGTCAATAAGGAGACAAATAAGCCACGTTTTTCTGGCGCGTAATTTATAATGTAGCGACTAGAACTTTCTTTTCACGTTTCTCCGTGACCCCAGGGAAATATGCAACCCACTCTTTAAGCATTCCTCATTATGCGTAGTTTTGTGTTTTACTTTCGCCAGTGCTTGTTAGCACTGAAAGTTCGATCTGCTGGTTACTACCGCGTTTTCCTTAGCTGCTTCACTGTTGTGAGCCCTGAAATACTAATTCTAGAATTGGAGTCGCCACAGTTTTGTAAGTTTACTTTGCTCCGTTGTCAGTCTTTTGTCGTTATATTTTGTATTTAGATATTTTGCCTCGTTTATTTTTCAGTTGAATCACACACATCACACACCCACGATCACTTTTGTTTCTCTCATGTTTACGCCCAGTATAATTAAACTTGTACATTCAAACTGTGACGTTTTGTAGCGCTTACTAGACCTACATACAACTTACTCTACTTGAAATCGATACATCGAACAGGTCACCTTAAAATGTAAAGACCCATTGTTGAGATAGGCTAGTATGTTGTAGTTTGCCGAGGATTTACGCAAAGTAATTAGCTTGCACTTAACAAAAACGGAAGATCTTGTAAAAGAGGGGCTCATTGAGATGGTTTATCTGTGTACCAAAGTAAGTTAGTGGAATTATAGCCTCTGCAGTCCGTGCAAGTTGCTCGTAGTGAACTCCCAAGCTTTGCCCATGAACAGAATTTGAAAAAGCTTTGTTTTACTAAAATGTTCAAACTCGCTGCAAGAAAACAGCTTATGTGAGAAACCTCGATTTTATTAGAGTATCTTAGAAACTTAAACAGCTTATTTTTAAAAAACGTCAAAGAAAAACAAATTTGAATTCCTACAAAGCGCCATTCAAAAGCCAGCAGCAATTTTATCTCCATGTACAAAATTCAAAGGAGACTGAAAAGCGAAAAGACAATATTTCTTTTACAGCGGCAACTTTGAAATATTAGAAATGATCGTAATCCATATTTCCTTTTGCATGTGGCAAGAGCTTATTCTTGTTTTTCGTCTGCGCATTTAATGTGGCTTCTTAATTCAGTTAACCTGATCGCATCCTTTGGAGGTATTTGTTTAGCTTTATTGGAATTAGTAAATTCAATTTAATCCCAATGTGCAAACAGCCATAAGGCCCTTAAAACGTAGATGTCGGCGGCAAGATGAAACGTTGTGGTGTTATTGATTGTAAGCTAATTTTAGTTTTATGTGGGTTGGTCAGTTGTTAATAAGGTCTTTGACATGTCTTTACCTAAAACAGTCTCCCCGCCATATTAAGTCCCAGCCCTCCAGAAAATAAGCCCGACTTCCAAATTTTAGACTCCAAAACTTCAACTATGAAAAGCCCTACTCCACCCCCGAGAATAAGCTGAAGACTTACACGAGTTAAGCGAGTGGAAGTTTGGGAGCAGCGACAGGAGCTGACAGCGAGTGTTTTCACAGCCTTTTCGAATTCTCCCAAACTTCCACGAGTGTTTCTATAACCCGTTGTAGTTCACCACTAATTTTTTTCCGATTCTCATTGGTTTAAATTGATCACGTGACGCGATAGTGTTCGTCCGCGGAGAGACACTATCAGCCCATAGTGCTCTTCCGAGGAAAGTACCCGGATGGATAGTTCTCGTTCGTGAAAATTTTTCTGAAAACAAGACCGAGACAAAAAAAAGAAAGTAACTTGTTTAGCTTTGATCATCAAAATTTAAATTCTCTTTGCTCGCGCCATCATTACGTCAACGGCTCGTGCTATTTCTGTGTTTCTATCGAGTTATAAAAACACGATTTTAAACCAATCAGCGCGCGTTTTCTCCTTGGGCTATTTTCTAAATGTTTCAGTATATCTAGAAAGCATTAGCTCTTAAGTATATATTCTTTCAATTATTAGCTTGGTATGTTCAGAGAGTTTCTATGTTCAGTTGATGACGTTTGTTTCTCCCTAGTCATCTGGATGACAATAAGCTGGAGAGTCTTCCACTTGACGCCTTTAAGGGAGTGAAGAAACTCAAAATATTGTAAGTTTCTCGCGTCCATATAATTTTGTCAGTTGTGTGTAATATCTGTTCCTTGTGCGTGGCTTATCCATTTGCCTGCAATTGTAGTTCAAAGTGTGAGCGTTTGTTAGTCGATTGAGTACCTTTGTCAGTTGTTTGAATGAACAAATATTGATCATTTGCTTTCCGTTGTTTAACGCATCGCTCGTATTCTTTCTCAGGTTCCTTAAAGGGAACAACTTCAGAACTTGCCCAGAATTTGGACTGTCTTTGGAATCCTTGGATGAGTTGTAAGTACTTTGCAAAGGTGTCAGCACTTTTCTTGGTAGTTTTTTTTTTTAAATTTCGCCTGCAGTGCGCTGTGCACTGATCTAATAAACTAAATATGGTTCATTGTTTGTTTCAGATATCTCACAGGCAACAAAATGCATAGTGTTGGCGCTGGTGTTTTCCAAAGAGTCCCAAAAATTCAGCACCTGTAAGTTTCAACTACTTTTCATCTTTTTGACTTGCAATTTCATGTCAGTTCGCGGCTGTTGTTGTTGTTGTTGTGTATGCTATTGTTTGTGTTAATGTACCCAGTCGGTCGGTCGCTCAGTCTCTCTGTCTGTCTGTCTGTCTGTCGGTCGGTCGTTTGGTCGTTCGGACGCTCGGTTAGTAAGTCAGTCGGTCGGTCGGTCAGTCAGTAAGTTGGTCAGTAAGTCAAAAGTTAGTTATGTTTGACAGTGTGTTCGGCATTGTAGGGAGAATGTAGATGTTTGTTAAATTTTGGAATTTAGGAATTAACGCCGGGTTGAGTGTCTTTATACATCCCGTTGATAAGAGTCTATAACCAGGAGAGTCCCACTCTTATACTAACTCTGTCCAGAATGAGCTGTGATATTTAGAGAATATCTGGAAAGATGATAAAACAGTTCAGATAGCGTGTTATCAGCAGAATCCCCGGCCAGTAATGGCCTTAGCCCTAAACGGCTGAAGCAAAAGAAAATTCATGGGAGAAGTTAAAGATACAGGCTTGATGTAGTCTTAGGTCGCTAACGTTGACGATGTATATCTAAGATGCTCATTTCACTAAAATCCTACTTTGTATTGTTTTCAGCTGGCTTGATTTCAACGAACTTACAGAAATCCCAACGGATGCCTTAGCAAATCTTAAAAATCTGGAGTATTTGTACGTATTCACTTTTTTCACTCCATTTTTCTCTTGTACTCGGAAGCTGGGAGGAGCCGCCGAACATTTGATTGACAGTAGCGAAAAACGTATTTGTCGGTTGAGCCTTGAACTTTGTAGAGTCCGCATGTTATAGAAAAGCGCAGTAAGCAGTGCGATGAATTTCACACACTTCTTTTTATGTACCAAGTGTTGCTTTTTGTTTGTTATAATATATATTTAAAATTTACTCGATTCTGATTGGCTGAGAGCAGTGTAGTTTAAGTGTACACCAGTGCAAATTACACACCGTAATTCTAGATTATGATTGGCTGAAAGACAATTCCAAATTTTCTAAGTCAATAATGTGACGTAAAATGATGACGAAAATTTTGTGCGGAAACTTTGAAAAAAGTTTTCTCGAACGAGAAAAAATGACCTCAAGAAAGATCTTCCGGCACTTCCTCCACGTGAATTTTTTCATGTTTATATTATTAATAAGTACTCATACGGTTTTTCTTGTTCAATTTGGAATTAATTTGCACTTGTGGGTTTTTTAAAAAGCTGAAATTGCACTCGCCGAATCGGCTCGTGCAATTTCAGCTTTTTGAAAAACTCACTCGTGCAAATTAATTTCAAATTGAACTGGAAACCGTGTGATTACATATACTTAATTCAATCTTTTGTCATTTTGTTGTAGGAGTTTGGACCAAAACAAGATTGTTGTAATAAGGAACAATTCTTTTCAATCCCTCTCCAGGCTTTCAACACTGTAAGTTAGTTTCTTCTTTAGAGCTTTTGCACCATTATAACAATTTAACTTCCGAATTTTAAATGTTTTACTCATTGTGTTTTCGTTTTGCCTACAGTCTACTATTCCATAATAATATATCGAAAATTGAAGATGGCGCATTCACGGGCCTGGACTTTTTGGAATCATTGTAAGTACTCAGCGGGGTAACCCAACTTGGTTCTTAACCTTTGAGGAATTAAAAAGATAAATGAAGAGATGAGTACAATGTGGACTGATGTTTTGAATTACCTCTTTTAGAAATTTGAGAAACAACAATCTCGAGAAAGTACCTGTTGCCTTGAAGGATGTCAAGAATCTTCAACAGCTGTGAGTATTTTTCTGTTGGTCTTAAAATTCTAGTGTTTAAATACCGTTTTTGGTCGGATGCAGTCTTCGAAAATTTTTACCTGCGCGCGCGGTTTGATTTAAATCAGAGTGGTTGCTAAGCAACTTCACATCCGGAAGTAGCAATGAATGTTTGACAGTAAAAATCAGAAACACTGAGAGTGTGTGAATGCAGAGTACCTGTAGTATTTGTAGTGTGTAATCGTAGTGTTCGCAGTAATCGTAGTGTAAGTAACGGTCCTATTGTAAGTAATATCAGTAGTGGCGTAAGTGATATTGTCGAGACCTTAATCTGATGCTTTTATTTTGAAACAGAGAACTTAGCTACAACCCGATCGAAGAAATTCAAGATTATGCTTTTAGAGGACTCGTTAAGCTCCACACCTTGTAAGTATTACCGTGAAATCTCTTTTTTAAAGCGGTCTTCATTACAGATGTACTTGATACCTGATAGCAAGCTGTTATTGATTAACTGCTGTTTACATTTTCACGGAGTAACTTTTTGGGCAGGGTACCTTAATTATTGCGTGCGTTTAAGCAAAAGCTAATATTGCAATTGTTGCTTGCGCTTAAAATTGATCATTTTGAGAGAAACCAATGGCACAGAATAAAAGGGCGAACTCTTTTGTTTCCTAAGCCGTTTAGCAATGCTCACTGATATTTTGTTTCTTTTCCTTGCAGAGTTTTTACTTGGGAAAAATTAAAATCAGTTGGACACAACGCATTTTCATACCTACCTTCTTTAAAAAGTCGACTGTAAGTTCACGTTTGTTTCATTAACCCCTTTAAAATTTCGAGATTTTATCGAAAACGTGTCAACTGAATAGTTAGATTGTATCAAAATCTGTTAACTGAGTAGTAGATTGTATCAAAATCTGTTTACTAAATAGTTAGATTGTATTAAAACTTAACAGAATAGTTAGAATCTCGTATGACTTTCTCGACGCCCGCTAAGGGAACAGAGTCCCAGTTGATATATCTTGGTTTTCATACAACACTTATGGCTTGGTGTTCACCATAAACTTGCTATGTTATCTTACGAAAGAAAGAAACGCCAGGTAGTAATTAAAGGGATTTAAGCTGCGACAAGAGAAGATGAAGAGTATTAGAGTTAATCCCCCATATGGGGCTTATTCTCAAGGTAATTCCTCTCGAGCTGTTTTTAGGTATGGCATCCCTGGACATGCAGTTACTCCCGCGTTGCGCTGGTATTTTCTTGAAGGATAAAAATTCGTGTGAGGCCGCTTGGGCTGTTCACGTGAGCAAAATGTGCGTCACAGGATTGGATAGTTGAAGACCCACCTGAGTGATGTAAAAATACCTTAAGAGGGATTACTTTAGGACTAATGCTCATATGGAGGATTAACTGTCTCACCTTTCTTCCACTGTTGGTTTGATTGTTGATTTTTTGCTAAACATACAGGATGACTGATACAGTGGAACCCCAACTTACGACCACCCCGTTAATACGGCCACACGGTCATTTTATTCTGGCCTTAACAAAAGCTCAGTCAGTCATTTTCTCATTTAAAGAACCCCTTTAATACGACCACATTTTTGTGGCCAGCTGGCGATCGGATTTTAACGGGGTTCCACTGTGCACTATGCATACAAATTACGAATTAGAAGCATTTTCACTTAGAAAGTAAATTTTTCTTGTATATGAGATGAACTTCTTGTGCTTCTTATTTTGAATCTTTCAGGAGGCTGGTTAGTGTGAAGTTAGACAGATTTCCAAACTTGACGGGAACAACTTCGTTACAATACCTGTACGTATAGATTCAGCCTGGCTATCTCCCCGGAGGGTGGGTCTCCGATATTTGAAAAGGTCGGGGATGCTCTTCGTCTCGCTTAGGGGCGTAAGTTAAAGATTCTGGTCTCACTAAGGGTGTTCATAAAGAAATGCCACTATTTTTAGCTGTCAAAGTATCTTTTAGGGTGCAGTCAAAGAGATAAGAATGAAAAAGCGTTCTCGTTTACCTTTTTACACTCGATATCCGCCGCTCTCTCGAGTCCGGTCTATAAACCCAGGCTCCTCTCCAGAACAGCGGCTGGTAATCAATCCTATTACGTTTTAAGTGGTATCTTTTAGCGGCAAATAAAGCTCGAAGCAAGCCCAGATTTTCGTCCATTAGGGGCTTCATTTGAATTTTCCGATGGGCATCCCCGACCTGTTCATATGATATTTCCCCCGGGGCTATCCCATCCGCGTCAGTTCAGCGTTCCAAAAACGAGATATTTTGCGCGTCGACCGCTGTGCAAGGAGAAGGTAGCTTCAAAGCTCCTTTGACTCTTTCCAATGAGGTTTCAAAGGGTGTTGTTCTTAAGCTAGGTGATTTTTTTTGCTATGTGCAGGACTTTGACTTTCAACGAGATCAAAGAACTACCAGAAAATTTGTGCCAACAGCAGAAGGGACTGGTGGACTTGTAAGTCACAATATCGTTTTAATAGCTATGTAGGCTGAAATCAGACTAGTAACTTTCACTACCAAGCCTCGCTTCGAAAATGCAAATTGTTAATTTCGTCATGAACAAATTTCCAAAGCTCCAAAGATTGTAAGATTGCATGGTGTTCCAGATCTATTCGCAGGATGGCAATTACCCTGTAAAGTATCGTGTTACTTGTTTTTCTTCCTGCTAAAGCTAAGCATAAACGCCTGA